TAGCATTTGTCTAAGGGCCTCTTACCTCACTTCCATGTGGGATCAATAAACGAGACTCCACTAGAGCCCTATATTACTTGAGCTATATGTATACTTGCGTTTGAAATTGTGACTTTACAAAATCATTATAAATATATAAATATGGATTCATAAATTCTTGCATATTAAAAGTCGCATCAAGTTTTTGGCACCGTTGCCGGGGATTAAAATTTTCTAGTAGTGGTGTCAAATTCTTGTATTTTTAGGTATATAAAAAGTCGCTGTCAAGTTTTTGGCGTCGTTGTCGGGGAAGCTTCGGTAAGAACTTTAGGAGAATTTTAGTTGAAGAAATTAGGCTTAAAGATGGAAAACTGTAGTGTCGTAAAAATTATTTTGTGTGAAAAAGTGTTTTTATATGAAAAAGTGTTGTATGAAAAAGTGCTGTCAAAAAACTATTTGTATCAAAAAGAAGGTGTTTGTAAAAAAGTTTTGTTATGTTGAATATATCTTTTGTTTTATTTATCTAATTATTAAGGTATTGTTTGTTGTGTTGTGTATGTGAAATGAAGGATCCACAGGACTTATACCTTATGATCCTAAGTTAGAAGAAAGAAAAAAAAAATAAAAAAGCAGAAAGGACTTGAAGAACTAGAAATGGAAATGGGAAACTTTCAAAATAATAACATGTAAAATCATCATAAATCCTTGAGGGAGTATATAAATCCTACGACAGATGAAATTCACTCATGTATACAAACCCTTATTGTAGAAACTGACTCATTTGAAATAAATACAGATATTATCCAACTTGTGCAGAACAACCAGTTTGGGGGAACTCCTTTGGAGGATCCCTATTTACACTTATCAAAATTTATAAAACTTTGTGCTATATTTCGTTATAACGATATGTCAGACGATGCTGTCAGACTAAGGCTTTTTCCTTTCTCACTAAGAGATAAGGCTAAAATGTGGTTATACTCATTAGCACCTGGCTCTATTAAAAATTGGGAGGAGTTAACTCAGAAATTCCTAACTAAGTATTTTCCACCTTCAAGGACTACTAAACTTAGAAATGATATTATCTCATTTTGTCAGTGTGAAGCAATGAAAAATATAAGGGTATAATCAATATACGAAGCTTGGGAAAGATTTAAGGAAATTCTTAGAAAATGTCCACATCATTCTTTACCAGACTGATTGATCATTCACACTTTTTATAATGGGTTAGTAGGATCCCTTAGATCTATTATAGATGTTGCTGCTAGAGTTTCATTAATGTCTAAACCCTTTGTGCAAAACCATTTGATGAAGCATCATTTGATGAAGCATATGCGTTATTGAAGAAATGACTACACATGAATTTCAATGGCCCTCTACAAGGGTAAATCGTAAAAAGGTAGCTAGTGTTTATGATATAGATGAGATTTCAATTCTTGCATCTGAAGTTGCCGCAATATCAAGGAAGTTTGACCAATTTGAAATGAACCAAACTCAATTTACTCCAGTAAGTGAGGAAAGTTCATTAGGGCATATGATGGGTTCTAAATTATCATATGATGCTTTAAATACCATAAACAACCTGTCTCTAACTTTTACAGCCCAGGTTGGGAGAACCATCCTAATTTTAACTGGAATCATACTACTGA